CGGGTTAATGAGCGACGTAGGGACAATTGTGGCTCATTTCAATACATTGTGATTTAATGAGGGGAACACGTTCTGTGAAACAATTTAATTTATTGCCTTTTCATGCAGTTTTATTGCATAATTTTACTTGCGTAGTCTCTACACGTCTAATCCCTTTTCTTTGTATCGCGCTGCAATTCGCGCTTGATTTATCAGAAATAATTTTCTTAGCCGGATGGTTATATATAATAAATATATATAAAAGAACAAAATGGAGGCAGGAGAAGCGCTATGGGAATTAAACGTTCTCCTGTATGCGTTTCCAAGGAAACGACCTCCGTTGTTGATAGCAACAGGTGAATCCCTAAACAACGATTACTAAAGGCGTTTGGTTGCTAAGGTAACCAGTGAGATGCCATGCAGAAGTATGACAAAAGATCTCTTTTGACTTAACCGAGCGTGGCATACTCAACCCAGTTCGCCTTTGTTTGTGTTACCTTCTTTTGCCAATTCACCGTTGTATGAGAACATTGTATGCTACCAATGCAGTTTTCAGGCCTTCGGAAGAAAAAACAAACATCATGCTGAAAACTTAAGCATCACGCATTTGGCGAATCGAATTGTTTTTCTTTGGTTTTTTTTTTGTCGTTCTGCCGCGTTTGACTTTAATCACCGGATGCCTTCGCGAATCGAATACCGATCAATATAAATCTCACGCCGTCTATCAAATCTATTTTCCTCGGCTCCGACGCCATGTTTGTCTCAACCTTCCAGCCCATTCCTATGGACTGTATATACATGAATGATTGATAGTCCAGTGGCTATGTGTTGTTTGTACTCTTGAACTGTGCATTTTCTTCCATACAAAAAAAATGTATGCAGAGGTAAAATGCTATATAAAAATACTTTTAGATGTGGAGCCATAAGAATTGAACTTGTTTTCTACTTTTAAAAGCCCATATTTTATCAAATACGCTGTATACCCTTATTTGGAGTTGTGCATTTTCATATAAATGATGAATGTTGACTTTGTGTTGTGCTTATACTAGTGCATATCAAAGAGCCAGACTACTATATCCAGCAGTGAAATAACAATGTACACAAACTTTATACTTTTGTTGGTAAGAAATCGGCAACAGAATTTGAAAATAACAGCAGTGTGCACAAAAACCCCCCTTACATTTTTTTAAAGTATGAAACTGTGCATGTTTAACTAAATTCCTAGTCAATTTTCAATAACTAGGAAAACCAGTCAATATTTTGACTAAGTTGTTTTAAGAGTGTACTATATCCAGCAGTTAAATAACGATGTACACAAAGTTTACACTTTTTTGGGTAAGAAATCGGCAACAGAATTTGAAAATTACATTAGTGTGCACAATAGTCCCCCCCCCTCATATTTTTTAAAATGGCTGCCACGCCTTTGAAAGGCTGAGTTCATTTGCCATGCATGGCATTCACGTCTGGAAAAAATGTTTCTGTGAAGTTTCGTGCTTTTCACGTATATGCTGGACTAGACTGGTGAAAGTTGTATCACCTTATCGAGACCACTGTCTCTGTATTAAGAGAGCATCATGTTTTGTGAAAAACCCGCAGGCAGAGAAGCAATTTTTAAGCTATCTATTTCAACAATACATTTTATGCGACTACCATGGAAAATAACTGCAAAATTGTTTGGACGCACTAGAATGGTTATAATGGTTTAGTCACGACAAATATGAGGAAAATTAAGTGTTGTCACTTATTAAATTATTTCTTTGTACGTTTCTGGTCATTCCTGTATGTATACTGATTTAGTATCTCGTCGGCACATTTTCAAATTTCAACGGAATTAAAAAAGGTGGTGTTAGTCATAAAAAGCTTCATTTCGAATAAAAGATCTCTTCTTTCTCCGATCCCGGAATTTTGCCAAGTTGAGCTGATGACCATGCTTTGTTTGGTTTAAATTTTCCTTGGGGTGGTTATTATTGAAATGAATAAACCGAAACTCTTTGAAAAGATTTCAATTTATAAATCATGAAACATGATATTTCATTTTATGCACAAACACCTACATCTTAGACTTAGGTGTTTGAGCATAAATGAAATATCATGTTTCATGATTAATACATTGAAATCTTTTCAAAGATTTTCAGTCAAAATGTAAACCAAACAAAGCATTGTCATCAGCTCAACATGGCAAAATTCCGGTATCAGAGAAAGAAAAGATCGCTATTTATTTAACCCATTATTTCTGGATTACCTTTTTTAATACCCACTGCATATTCTTAATTTAGTCAGCCTTCAGCTGATAGAAGATGTATTGATTGGTAGCTAATGAGCGTGCAGTCAATAACGGCTTTCAAATGGAATGATAGGCTTGAATATCAAGGCTATTCCAATTGTGTGGCAAAAGCTTGGTCCTGTGTCATTAAAAATACTGGAGTTCCAAATACAGGGCGAGTCAATTTCAAAGTGACCGAATTTGAAAAATATTTTAAAACTATTTGGCTTGTTCTATTTCACTAAAAAAAGTTATGTCTATTTCAAGAAAAACAAGATCGCAAAACTCGGCTGTCCACCACTGATAATTTACCGTTCTACGAACTGATGAATATCCATTGAGTACAATGAATATGGACGTTTTCCCACCTCGATGAATGAACGACAACTTGCACAGGAAAACATTCAAAAATCGCAATCAATATATCAGAACAATAAAGATGGGGGTGCGGGTTAGAATCCTGCCTGTAACTTGTGCATTTTGATGATGCACATGGTGTCTGAAGCGAAATCTTTGTTTCCATTCAACGCCTTCACAACTAACTGAAACGTCGCAAGTCAAAGCCGTATTGCAGGTCAGGCTTCCAGAAGGGTGCAGACCAGTACAGAGGCACCCAGTTGCCTGCTCCGGCCAAATCGCGATTTGTGTACTGTCGGTTTTCTCTTGATAGAGAGGTTTGTGGCCCCTGTACCTAAGGTTTTGTAGAAATAAAGGCTCCCTGCTTGGACCTAAAAATCGCTCTATTTTGCAATGGAGTGGAGGGATCAATTTTCAAAATGGCGATGGGCTTCAAGACTGCGTTTAGGAGTGATCATCTTTGGAGAGAAAAATCACCCCAAACATTGGCAGAAAGTGAAAGAGGGTAAACTAAATTTCATTTTGATATATGGCTTGATCACCTGTGAGACTTTTGAGTGTTTGTCCCGAATTTGTGAGGGGGGGGGGGGGTATCATTGGTTTCTATGATAATTTATTTACAGGTGTGCACCCAGGAAATAAAAGGCAAATCGCCTTCACGGGTCAAGGGTCATGCAGATCAGGTTGTGACGTTTAGGTCGATGTTCCCAAGAAAAAAAAACTTGCCTCTGAAGTTAAAAAAAAAATTAAGATCAAAGATGACCAAAATGTTAAATAATGACTTAACTTTACATTTAAGTAACATTGTTCACTTTTTGTATAAAGGAATGCCCTGAAAACTTCGGCTTCGCAAGATTTTGCCAATAATCAAATTAAGGTAAACATTTACCATGGTAACCAAAACATTTCATTGGCATATTTCAGTGTGAATGTGACGTAGTAGCTTAAATCCAACACTTTTTAATAGTAACTATTATGTCCATAATCCGATATCAAATCGGAATATTCAAAATAGAGCATGTAGGATTATTGTATGAGGCATTTATGAATTCATATGATTCTATTTTTCAATTTCACAATCCCATCTCCGTTGGCCCCTGAAGGGAGTTTCACTGTCTTAAATGCAAAGATACTGAATCCTTTTTCCCACCACCTAAATTCTCGGCCAGTGTTGATAAAAAATTGTAATATTAATACAAAATATGCAAAGTACCGGCCCAAACCTTCCATTTATTAAATACAAACCTTAATTGTATTTTGCTTCAGCTGCACATTGTGCCGTCATTCGATTATACCGTGTTGTGTGTTTTTTGAGTGGGTATTTTTCCGCTTAATTATTTACTACCTCGACTATATATTACAAATAATAAACCTCCATTTAGGCCTATCGGCGGCACATTAATGGAAATCGGACCTATTAACAGCCTATTTTTAATGGCAATGGTATACAGCAAATCGTAACATTTATAACTTCACTATGTTTATCGTGGTTAACTCTAGGATTTGTTCAGTTTATATTTCATTGTAAATAAAAAAATATGCAGTATTTCTAATGGAAACTTTCAAACGTGATCCGTCTTTTATAACCTGCTGTTCATCTTTAGGAATAGGCTAAGTTGAAGATGCACAACCCATACTCTGTTTTTCTACTAACGAATTGCTCGTTTGTTTTAACGGAATATCTACTTTATTCTGATTTTGGGCGTCTTAACCCTCTGAAAAAGGGCTTTTATTTTTCACACAAATGAACCCGCCCTACGAGAGCCGAATAATAGTCAATAGCAGCCAATTATTAGGTTTTTTTTATGAAGAAATAATTAAATATCTAAACGTCGGTGGATTTTTCAGTTCGATGTGTTATTCATATGTGAATAACGTTTATATTTCTATAGGAAAATAGCAATTGAAATATATATATATACTTTTAGAGGTGAAACTCATCTATTTTTGGAGGTGAAACTCGGAAATGGCAGGGGGATACATCTTTAAGGCCATTTGTTCAGTAAGTATTCATTGTGTAAATTCAACAAACGCTTATGTCAAATCTTGCCATTACAGACAAAATGCGATAATAAAAGAAATCCATTTTCAAATTTGTCCACAGCAAGGCAGTTATTACTTTGCATTAAAGTCTTCTTTTTCTGCTCAAATGGAAACCACATATTAAATATATCGAATTGATTTCCGTTCTACGAAAGGAAATGTTTACTTCGGTTGTTCAAGTGTGAACGCCTTCTATTTGGATAGTCAAGAACATACCCTGTGTGACGCGACGCACGCTCGGGTAGAACACGGGCTCTGATTGGCCCACTCACGCCGCAGCGCGTTCGGAGGTTGGACCAATAGGAATCGTCCACCTTATGATTCTGCCGCTGTCAACAGGTGAATGCGGGTAGTGCAGTCGTCGCCGCGACATGCTGGTAATTGCACCGCGCCCTGCAGACAAACCTGCTGACACAAGCGGACACCATCTCGGACGACATTAACGCCTGTCAAGTGCCACCGGCGGCGAAATAAACGAAGGATGATTGCCTAGCGCCGGACGCTGTCAAAGAATCACCGAAAACACTTCCAAATTAGCGTGTAAATTAACTCCTGCTGCTATTTTGAACACAAAGTTCGACACCCAAGAGAGTTTCAGAACGAAAGGATCTCCGAATCGCCACCGAGGCGAGGTTGTTTTGTCCACTTGCTCCGAAGGAAAACACCAGCGGGGATAACGAAATGACGCGTCGCGTCAAACCCACGACCACAGCAGCAAGGCACGCTTCGGAAATCATCCTGATGGTGAGTTTTCTCTAAAAAGCAAACACACCAATTTTCCCGGTAACTCATTCTTATTTATCTGCAAATGTTCGCGTATTCCTTTCGTATAAAATGTATATAGCGATGGAATGAAGATGGGGCTAATTTTTATTGAAGACTCGAATCTTTCGCTGTAGAATTAGTTGCCTCTTTTTGAGAAGAGAATAAATTACAGTTTTTGAAAATCTCACTCAAAAAGAACAAACTTTTTAATGAAAAAAACCCCAACAACTGTGGGTATATCTAAGTAGTTGTCGACTGCATGGAAATAAACAAAATGTCGCTAAAAATGTAGTAGGCCAATGCTTGGATTTTACGTCTACATGGTTGTATTCTCCGCTCAGCAAAGACACAAATTCAGGGGAAAAAGGGGCAATGATTTTGCTGAATGCTTTTCTTGTTCTTTGCAACATCGTTCACTCCACAGCATTGTATTAGAATGTAAAGTTTGGCTGTAAATATATAGAAAACGTCGTGCCGTCGTAGCCTCAAGTTTGGGCAAGGCTTGGTATAATGTATGGGGTCGACCATAGAATCATCATCAGGGGCGGATCTAGCTTTCAAGAATACGGGGGTTGGTATGAAGGTTAGGGGGCCGGGGGATTTGAGTAAAGGCGTGCCTTGCTAGTGTGGTCCGGGGCCTACCCCTGGATTTTTTTTGTAATCTTCGATGCTTTCCCGTGCATTCTAATGCAATTTGAGAAACAAAGTAGGAATTGTATCATTCCATTTATTATTTTTGGCCCCATTTTGTTTCATAACATTAGTCAGCGGCTAAATGGGCAGGGGGGGGGGGGGGGTGCGATCCCCCCAATCCGCTACTGATTATTCAAATGTCTTCTTTCTGTCCGTTAAAACAACTTCATTGTATATGGCGTTAATTGGTTGGTTTGAGTAGAATCCTTTGGTCGAACAAAATAAAAAAGGTCTTATATTTTTTTCTAATACCCTTAAATCCTGCACTGTAAAAATATAGTGTCTTATTTCTATTTTCGCGTTTCACCCCAACAAATGTGATTTTATTCCTTTTTCCCCCTGACGATGCAAGTTTTATTCACGTTTGATAAGACATCAAACAAAAAATTGGCTTTCTGATATGGAATAATTACTCTGCAAATTTGGAATTTTTCGCGGCCCGACAATAGCTCAGTTCTCGCAGAGTAGACGCCAATAATCCCAAACGTCAAGTTCGCATTATCTCTTCGCTTGGATTTGTTTGTTGGAATTTGTGTTGTATCGAGTTGTATCGAGTCATAAATAAGTTAAAAGGGTGAATTTTACTATGGATTATTGGTGTGAGAAAAAAAACCGCATGGACTTTCCCGATTTCTAGCAGATTTACGGTGGCATTTAAACTCATCGACCGAAGGACAAGGTCTGAGAAATTGGTCATTAATGTGTGGTATTTATTTTCCATAATTTTCTCTCCGAAGCTCATGCGTTATAGCGATATTAACCAGCTAATTATGTGAACTGTATACAAAACAATACAGTCAATCGAACAAGTGCAAGAAACAGTGGACGAATTAAATACTAGCCAATAAAAATTGAATGCATAAAAAAGGCGGACAGGCAACGTGTTACAAACAATAAGTTTATTACAGATTGTGATTCGACTGATTTGAACGATGGACGATGCGGGTTATAGCACACGCGTCAACTCTGATGATGAATTTCTCAAATACGTCATTCAATTATGAACATCAAACATGCACAGACGGGTTAATGGCGGGTTATTGGCAGGTATTATGATCCAACTCTTTTGTCTCCCCAATTTGAATTCCAGCGTCGTTAATAATCGCGCAGGAAATTAACACATGACATCCAATTTGGCTTTTTGTATGGCATGATGGTTTCGCCGTAAGTTTATTGTCCGAGTCAGTGGACTGGCTTCAACGATGTGCCGTACAAGCGTGGCGGACGTTGGTGACCGGAAGAGAACTTTGCTCCCCAAAAATTGAATCGTTCAATCAGTACAGTTTTTAAATGATGATTCTCAGGGATTTCATGCTGCATGGGATACGAAATGTTTAATCAACCCCGACTACAGGGCGAGTCAAAAAGTGACCGAGCTTAATAGAAAAAAAATGTGGCTCGCAATGAAAATAACATATAGAATATTAAAAAGTATACTATTCACGTAATTTGTACACTTTATTCACAAGTTATTATTATTTTTTTTACAGAAATACCACAACATTTTAGCTGTCCACCACTGATCATTTACCGATAGGCTAAGCGTTGTCAAAAGTAAAGCTATGGTGGTTTTCCTACCACCATGAATGAACGAAAACTGGCAAAATCACCAATCTCATTTCAGAAAAAGACAGGATTTGTTCCTCATATTCAAAACGCCAAATCTGACAATGAAAATTACGTTTCAGTCTTGACTTAAATTATTAAAAAAAAGTATCGCGTTTGTATTTGAATGCCTGTGTGTAATCTCTGGTTCTCACTATGATAGTTTCAAAGCATTAGGCATTCAATGGACAGCTGTCAAAATGGCTTCTTTCAGTAAATCATACATAACTTCTAATGAATCAATTTTAGTAATTCTTTTTCTCACATGAGTGGAAGAACATGCTCATTAAATACATGTTTCATTGGTGTATCAAATTTAATTATAAAGGGCAAATCATTAATCCAGTCACTTTCTTTTTGACTTACCCTGTATATAGTTTTTGGAAATGCACATTCTTTGACACACAATTATCGATGTGGAGTTCAAATTCAAGACATAACTTCTTGAAAATAGCAACAGGAACAAAAACAATATACTACAATCATTTACCGTCACTTATTCTGCTTATTTTTCAACGTCGCTCATGCCTTTCATGATTAATTATCACAGATGTTCAATGTAAAGTGTTTGAAGTGAATGTCCTTTTTTCACGGATAAAATTGTTTACCATAGAACCCTATCGTTTTCTTCGTTTGATGTTCAGTAATCACGAGTTCGTACATTGACTATTTTCTCATTTTATTTAAAAAAAGAAGACATGTTGTAGTAAATATCCGAATAAATACTTGGGTAAGTGCTACAAATTAAAGGAAGGGAAAACTCTCTAATTTCCAAGAAAAAAACTAAGGATTTGACGATTTAGAGTTAGAATCACTCTGATTTCAGATTGAAATACTTTTCAAAAATAATCAATTCCGTCTAAACTCGTGAGAACCTCGAACAGTTCGACGGAATGAAATTCACTCTAAATCGTCATGCAGTTCAATTGGATTTAGCGAGTTTAACTCGATTCGAGTGAAATTTCATTTTTTTTTAAATTCGAGTCGAGTGAATTTTTTCAGAGTATACTTTTGAAAAGAATCTAGGGGTGAAAATGAATCCTTAGATTCACAACTTCTCTATCAAGGTACAAGGTCTGGTACCCAGACTCGTCATGATATTGGAATAATTTGGCGTCCAGTACAGAAATATTTATCAGTCATGGGCCTTATTCACGAGAAGGACATTATATAGGCGCGGTTTTAGAGCCAATATTGCTAGCAGGGTGGATCCAGAATCAGGTATACATGCAGAAATGTAGACCGGTTATTTTCTCCGGACACTTAGGCCTCCGAAAATCAAGGGGGGGGATCCATATTTTCAATAGGGAGCGCTAATAAAATCCTACATCAGGCACACTATATTAGCTAAAAGTGTACAAATGCACCCTTCTCACGACAATTTATTTAGGGGGAGGCCGTTCGCATGTACGTCACATTCTAAAATTTTGCTAGTGCATTTTTTTAGGGATTTTTTTTTTTTTTGGGGGGGGAGGCTAAAGCCCCCCCCCCCCCGTAGAGCCTCCACTGCGGCCATATTGGATTGCGAGTGAGGTAGAATCTTTATTTTTGGAACTTGTGTAGAGAAATGAAAGCAATGACGTTACAAATATTATTAATACCGGTCTGCTCTGATGAATAATTTAACACTTGTGTTTAAACATACATGTACTCTATAATGTTTTAAGCCACATTAAAAAAAAAATGAAAGTAGCTATAGTGAATCAATAGTCTGGTACCATCCCATTCGACAGTTCACAATTTATTAAATACATGTACATTCAGGGAACACTACAAAAATGGCCAACTCGCGCATAAGGCCCATTGCTAGTTTGCATTGCGTCATCGTGAAAAACATTCGCCTGAAATCTTGACGGGTTGTAATTATCTCGTCATTAAACGTGATCTGAAAAAAACCCCAAAGAAACCAGACGAAAAAGACATTTACCACTGACTTCAAGATGAAATACCAGTAATATATACACCAACGACTGCCCGACTGTACCGGGAACAACTTGTTGCCAATATACAAAAAAACCCGGCCGCCATTTTGTTTCTAACCCGAACTACCTCTTGTATACAACAACAATGACCACTACCATCCACTGGGACTTGTTGCTTGGAAATTGCCCTCCACAATAAAAAATCGATACTTTTTCCCCTTCGTGATTTTGTTTCCAGGCGGACAATGATTCAACACGCGCCAGCAGAACGGATATTGAGTTCGCACATTGTCCTCGGTCCTGGCCCAGCCATATTTAATTATGTACATGTATCTGTAATAAAGATGATACGAGACTTGGGTCATCTCGCGGAAGTCGCCAGCGTTGACTGCAGGAGTCGAGGAGGCAGTGAATATTGAAGGCTTGCATGCAACATGCACCGGCCGTTGACTCGTCTCGTTTTTTTTTTTTTTTTTTTACACCTCAATAGGTTCTTTTTTTCTTCTTCATATAAATTGTGGCGCCATATTATGGCGCCACACAAAGAGTTTTTGGCTGATGTCATGCCTATATTTTGATACATTTTTTCCCCGCAAATCGTTAAAAGGGACACTGTGTCCTGGAATACTTCCAAGTGTAGTTCGCTGTTTCATGCTCCACCATTGGGCATGCAGAGCCTCGATCTGGCAACTTTACACAATAAAAATATCCATTTCATTGATCTTAACCCTGACACGGGAATCACTGAATCGGCTATAT